AGCGCGGTGTGAAAAAAAAGCGGAAGATGTAGCACGACGCGAGAAGGAGGACGCGAGAGAAAGGGGTCGGATGCAACGCCCGCGCTCGCCCTCGAGCGAGGATCGTCCGAGACCTCGCGCTTCTCGGGCTCCGCGAGTTCCCCATAAAATGGCCGGAGTAACTTTTTTACTTTATCATCCGGCCATTCTGCGAGCTACTTCGACGTGCCTGCATACGTTGCGGCCGGCGTAGGTGGGTAGGTGTAACCGGCGCGTACATACCTAAAGCGGTAGCACGCGAACACGCGAGTGTGTACGTAGAGCGATCGAAGAGTAACCTAGACTCCCCGTTTCCAGGCCGACGTCCGCGCGACTCCGTTCGGTGTTGTCCGGTACGTACGGCGCACTTCTTTCGCGTTTCATGCCTTTGCTGCGGCGCCGCGACTAATTAAGTGAACTGTGCAGAGATCCCGGCGCGCACACGCCTTTGAGAGCGAGCGAGCGAGCGAGCGAGCGAGCCCGTTTTTCATCGTGATTTGTGAGGAGATTCAGCGTTGAATGGCAATTTTCAAAAAAGAGCAAAATTTTCGCGTAAAAGAGCATGTTGCGAAATCGGTTGGTTTTGATTTTCCAAATTGCCCGGCGTTACAAGCCCGGTGATGCGGAAAGCGCCGAATGAGGGCGGCGATAGTCGGAAGCGGTCTGGCGCTGCTCCCCCAGGAACGCGTTTATTTCATATGTACAAAGGCGCGAAACGCTTGAACGGCGAATGCAAAAACGGGGAAAAAAACTGGCGGAACGCAAATGCACCGATGCGACGGCACGCGCAAGCGGCTGTCACCCGTCATTACATGTCGTACTCGATTTTTGGCCACGTTTTTCCCGCGCCGTTCTTTGGCTCCGGCTGTACCTGGGCACCCTTTGAAAAGTGTTCTGATGCGCCGCGCGCGTCTACTCTGTCAATTACTGATAAAAACGGCGACAGGTTGTGCGGAGCGAGCGACAGGTTAGAACCGAAACCGGCGGACGAGACGGGATCGGCGGGAATGTAAATTATCTCACGTCTGGCCGGACGATAAATAACGCGCGACCTCACCGGGTCCAAAAATGCGACGGCTGTTTTTCGCCCGGAGGCTGAAGCAACGGAAAAAAGGACCGATGATTCCGCGAGAGGGCAAGCTGCGCCGTCATCCGTCCAACTGCAGAAATCCGTTGAACGCTTCTATATATTCCGCTTGTATAAAGTGATATAATTTTTTTCCCGCGCGCGCGCGCGCCCGCCGTGGATCTCCCGCGTTTTATTGAATGCCGTGACGTTTGAGAAATTTCTCCCTTTGCACAGAAATACTTTTTGGAAGTCGCCCCCGATATCTCGCGTGGCCTCCGACGCGCGATTCCTTCGGTTTATCTCAATCGTAATGGCGGTGTATTATGGCTGCGGGTCTAGCCAGATTCGTGGAGAGATATGATTACGGTAGAAACGAGTTTTTCTTCGCTTGACATGCCGATGAAATATGATCACGGCAACCGACGTTCGCTAGGGGGTGGCATGGGGCGGAGAGTAGCGCGACGTGGGTGTACCTATACTACGCGCCATCGTTCAGCGTGCATAATGTCTCATAAAACGCGGCAGCGTTATTTTTCGGGAAACAACGGCGACGGCCGAGCGTTTCTATCGCGCCTGATTGGGAGAGCGAGATATTTCGTTGTAGTAGATCTCTCTTTTTATGCGTGCTTATACCAAAACCAAGATTTCCGCAACCGATAAACAAGGTAGATGATTACGTTACGTGGTACTAAATATACGCGACTGTTTCTAATCTGTATACAAGATTTCGTTGTTTCAATTTTCTTTAATACATATATACTCAAAAATTGTCCGCACAATTTTCTAGCCTCTGATTCTTTGATAAGCTTGGAGTTGATAATTATTCAACATCGATACAGAAATATCGAGAGTGGAATTCAATCTTCGCCTTTTGAATTAAAAACTATCGGAAGTCTAAGCGGAGCTAAGATATTTTTATTCTCACAACGATCAAACTAAAATTTCGATGAGTTCATGATTTTCCTGAAATACCGCTGAAAATGGTATTATTTGAAAATTTGCGAGACTATTTTCTGGATGTTCCCGAACCAGCCACCGGCTCGATGTTCTCTTTATGGCCTCAAAAAATCTATTTACCGTTCGCCTCGCTCGCTTTTGGTTGTCGTGCTGAGGTCGAGCCGTGGAGAATCCATTTTGCAGCGTGACGTAGAAAAGCGGGACGTTGACATACCGCGCGACTGAGAGAACGAGAAGGGAGAGCGGGAACAAAGAAGAAGAGAGGTGGTTAAAAGAGAGGGACGAAAAATACCGTGTATACATCTATACGTATGCGCGTGTATGTCTGTATGTGCATTATAAAAGGTACTGGCGCATACACCATATGAAACGCGCTACGCCGAGCCGGAAGTGACGTGTGATTTGGAAATATTCGCCACCTACGTCATCGCGAATTACCGACCGGATCTCGCTGGTAACCGGCGGGCCACAGCCGGCGGCATTTTTCACGACACACACGTGAAAAGCAAAATCAGTGCAGTGTCTGTGTAATGCGCACTCATACACGAAGTTGGCTCGGAAATGTGGAAAAGCGCGACCAATTCTTCGAGAGTGAAAGGGACGGCGGAAAGGAAATGAAAGAAAAAAAGACGCGGACTCGATAGCTACACTCGCATCCCCTTAGCCCGCGAAAGAAGACACTCCTTCCCCCCCCCCTTTATCGCTCTACGTAGACGTCGTCGCACGGACAGGCGAGCCTCCGAGGAAATCTTCGCAGTCGACCCGAGCTGTTTCCTTTTCCTCGAGTTAGACAGGACGGACGGGACGGATCTGCATTAACTATGGATTCCACCCATCCCACCGCCATCACGCGGGCGGTGTCTCCTTCCGCCGCCCGTCCTTCTTTCTTCCTTTTAGCCGCGCATGACGTTCCCTCTTTTTTTTTTTTATGATTCTCCTTTCGCTGTCGCTGGCGCGAGGAACAGAGTGCCAATTTTCCGCGTTCGAATCGACCGATGGAAAGCGAACGATCAGCGCTGCGCGAATTAAAAAAAAAGGAAGTAAGACAAAAAGCGCCCGCGGATTTCCCCTGCGTGTTGCCTGAATGCCTGAATGCAAGCCGGCGGCATCCGCGCGAGCGCGAGCGCGAGCGCGCGTTTGCCTGTCGGAGAGAATTGCGGAAAACGGAGCTATTGAATTCAAATCGGCATCTCCATCGGGGAAAATGATTCGTTCCGCGCTGATCGCAGCTAACTCGTCATTCGTTACTAACGCCCGTTCCGCTACGTTACCGGCTGTTCCGCAGGAGAACCGATATTTCGAGTCGACTCACTCGCGATCGTTAACTCGACCGTGGTCGGACATGTGAAGGGAGAGCGAGCTTTTAAAAGCGTAGCTTGCGCGCTGACTTTCCATTACCTACTTACCGTCGTTGCATTGATCCGGCAACAACGCGCGGCGTTTTACACATCCGGTCGATTCGACATTATCGTTCCCTCATCGCTGAAACTCGCAAAGCATCCAAATCCGGCGAGAGCTTTCCGACAGCCGAATTAGGATTACGTCGCGATGTAATTAATTGACTGAAATGCCGGGGATGTATCATCGTCATTACGGAGTCAGCGTAAAGCTCGCCAGGATTACCGACTGCGGCGACAGATTACCGCGTAATGATTGCCGCAGCCTAGCATCGCGCCTGATTGTTCGACCCTAAATTCACGTTTATTAACGTCGCAGCGACAAGAAACGCCATGGTGTTCGTGATAGCTTTTCTCAGGTCCGCAGATGGGCTCGCGAGGCGTTGCCTCGTCGGTCGAGTTTAACGTAAACGTCTTAAAGTCCATAGGATGTTCTCCGGTACTGCGTCTCTCCAAGATCAAGCTTGGTGTCGACGACTTGATAACGTCGCGCGATCATATTTTCGGCGGGAGATTGATGAATTTGATATCGCGAGACTTGAATTTTCGACGTCCTCGACGAGATTTAATCACGCGCGAGGCGTCCTGCCGTGACGGACTCGTCACCGACATATGTTACGATACGCACGCAATTCAGCGCGACATGCGTGCGCTCGTTATTTAACAGTCGAGCCGCTCCCTTGCTCGAAGCACGCGTTATTGCTCGTCTCTTCAACGACGAGTCAGCCGAGCTCTTTTAAGCTCGACCCCAGGGAGCGGCAGTCACGCCGACGGCGTTTTCTTTTGCCGTTTTCCATGCATTCAACACACTCGCGCAACGCATTAGTAGTCTGTTCTCTTTTCTCCGCTTTCGCGAGCGTCCGTGAAGCGTGAGTATTATATTTCGAACAAGAGAACATTACTACGCTTTCGGTTTAGTTCTTCTACCGTTTCGTTACTTCCTTCGCACACAAACCATACAGCGAGAGTCTCTTTGCACTTAATAATGAGATTACCGCGACCACGGCTAATTTCGCAAAACGATTACGCGTATAAAGAGATCGAGTCAGACTCGCGTGGAAATATCTCACAGCGCGTGCGTTGCAAGAGTAACAATAAAACATTTTGACTTTTATGCAGCATTGCGATAAGCGACAAATTTTTCACACACGTCCCATCGATCGAAAGCGTGTGCGACCGACAGCGGCGTCATAGCTAATAAGTAAACTGTAATAAATTACAAGAGATCCGGGGCATTCGTTCATGCGGAAGGATTATCTCGTCGCGTTTAAATAACGCGACATACGCGGCTCGAGCGAACGAACGTATCGGTGCTTTCGATCTGATTTCGCTGCGACGCGGCCGCATGCGACTCGACTCTCTTTTATACGCGCGATCGAACGCGAGATACGCGCGTGGAAAAGTGACACGTCGCTCGGCTCTCGTAGATTTCGAGAGTCCCGAGTAAGAGAGCACTCGTCGCGGTCATTGTCCTCGCGCACGAAATGTCCACCGCCGGAGAAATTGTCCGTGCCGGTAGAGTTACTTTACACTAGAATTTTCCGTTGATTTTTACTCACCGTTACTCTGCGCGATAATCGGGTCAATCGCCAGCAACACGACGAGGAAGATAGGAGTCATATTGACCACCTTCTTTCCCGTCTTCCCTCGGTCACCCGTGATCACTGCACACTTAACACCACCGTCGCAGCGTGCCACCTATGAAAAGATAAACCACCTTCGTCATAAACATACCACCTTCATCACTGGGTAGGGGAGGAGCAGAAGAGATGCGGGACGATGAGACGATGCGTCCACGTCTTCGCGACGAAGACGTTGCAGGCGTGGCGCCCGTGTAAATCGGCGAAATTCCTCTCCCTCGTCGCACACACAGGCGCGCCGCGAGGAGAAGATCGTTGAAGAAGAGGGGAAAAATCGTCACGGACACGTTGAATTCTCGAGCAGTACGACGAGAACGCGAGAGACGGTCGCGCGCTCAGATTAGCGCGTTCCCGGTGAGCAATAAGGAAGGAACGAGGAAGTAAGCGTAACGAGGGGTTTGAGCTACGCGTAAAAAAATACTTGTCGTTTCTGGCACGTTTGTATAACTGTACAAAACGACAGAACGCCGCGAGAGTGCCTATTCAACGACCATCGAAGAGAAGTATCGACACACGCCATTTATCACTTTCTTCTTCTTCTCTCTCTCTCTCTCTTTCTCCCTCTTTCTCCCGCGCGTGGTAAAATATTCCGCGGATATATCGAAAAGTCGGTCGGTGTGGGCGGTCGTCGACGTTAGGGAAGAAAGAAGCGCGCGTTTCCCTCCGAGCCGGTCGCTGACATCGTAATAATGGCCGCGATCGTTGTGCCACTTTGTCGCGGCGATCCGCGTAACGCTCTTTCTCTCTCTCTTCCTCTCTCGCAAGTAAGACTATTTACATTCTTCCACCGTCGCCGCGTCCGCCCGTGTTCGCTTGACGGGTTAATGGAAGGATCAATTTTGGAAGGGATGTCACTTCTGGACTGGGCCACCGAAAGGCGGACGCCGCAATGTATTTCCCACAGGAGATACAAGATGTTTCCTCCTTTACTTCCCCTCCGACCTTCTCTCCGACTTTCCTCGCGACCTTTCTCCGTCGTTTCGCCGAGTCACCCTCGGTCGGTCGGTCTTTTTCGCGTTGTTTTCCACCGTTGCGACGACATGTACTAACAAGCTACACGAAGAGCGTCCGGTAGTTCAGGGTCTTCGCACTTCGACGGTGTAAACGATTATCTGCCACCTTATCCGTTTGCCACCGTTGACTTTCAGAAATCCCACATGCTTGACACTGTGTGGGCTCTATCTCGCCGCGATTATCTCGACTCTTTCTTCCTGTGATTCCACGACCATCCCATATTTTCGCGCGTCCCACACGCTCCAAGCCAAGAGCCCTCACGACAAAGCCATCGCCGAGCTTTGCCGCGCGAGACGTTGACCCTGGATCCGGCGCTGGCCACGATTCCGGCTCGCGTTACATCCTCCACGTAACTGGCTGTAATTGTCCTTCTCCGCTTTCCCGCGGCTTCCACCGAACGGATATATTTTCCATTTTCTAGCCGACGCTCCCGACCCACGCGCAATATCCCCTTTCTCTTTGATTTCCCGCCGAGGGAAATGTATACGGCGCGACTCAGCTAAAGCCGAAAGTCCGAAAGTGGAATAGCTAGTTTTTGATAAGACGTTTTTCTTGCGCGTTCGCTGCGACGCGGTTCTTTCTCGCAGAACAATGGTGGGCCGTTGTAAACCGGAATGATACAAATGTAGAAAGCTCTCTTCAACTTTCGCCGGGAAACGCAAACGATCCGTCCTATTTAGCGATCAAGCGCAGTCCGGCGGAGAAGTTGCTTCCGCGAGAAAGAAGCGGGAGACGGGCACGATTAATAGCAGCTCGCGTGCTGGTATTTGTACGACACTTTTACAGAGCACTCGGTACATTGCACTCGCGCGACTAGGGGCTCTCTCGAATCTCGCTCCGTGCTACCACCCTCGCCGCACGCGACGTCACACCGTCGAACTCGTGCGAGTGTATTTTCCACGGTGTTTCCCGCAGCATTTGTATGTCTTCCGGCGCGTTACTTGCTGCACTTCACGCCTCGCGTCCTCAACGGCACGTCGTGGCTCGACGTCGACGTGAGCTTAATCCAATTCCACGAATTCGCGAACGTTCGCGTTTCCGGCCGTCCTTCCCATTCCCGTCGTACGATTCTCCGGGATGCGCCACGTGAACCTTCGACAACGACGTGAATCTTCGACAATCACGGTTCACCGCGTCTCTCTGCGCTCTTCTCGACACGACGCGACGCTCTAAATAATGCTGTATGTTGCGTTTCTCGTGGCAGAGGCAAGTCAGTCCTCCTCCGGGATGACTCGTCGTTTCACGATTTCCGGATTTCGAGAGAAGGGCCAGAACTCGACGGACGCGAGCCTCGGATTCTCACCGCGTACTCGCGACTCAATTATAAATTACTCCGGCGAGCGCATAAGACCCCGCGTTAAGGGTAGTTTTCTGAACGCGCGCTGCGGCCTGACTGACTCACCCCCATGCCCCCCAACGACACCCCCCACCCCGCTCGCCCACCACCGACATTCCTGACGCAGGCGCGCCGACCCTCTCGGCCTCGGGATCGCCGTACGTACACGTACGAATTCGCGCCAGACCAGATTTTACGATGATCGGAGAGATGTTCTTGGCTCTTCCATTGCTTGTTTTTTCCTTGGCGGGCTAAAGTCGCGAGTTACGGGCGAGTTTATGCATTCCAAGATATACGTTGGGACGCGTAAGCCGTGGAAGAACTCGTGGCCTTGGAAATTTTTCAATATTCCCTGCAGCGGTGTTTCCATTCAGAAAAAGAGAGAGAGAGAAAGAGAGTTTCCTTCCATCCATTAACACTCTTATTAAAGCGATGATCTGAAAAATGACTCTTTCTCCAACGAAATACGCGCGTTGTAAATAACGGCTCCGCCTTCGAGAGAGCGTGTCCCAAAATTGATCATAGATCACATTTCCCGCAAATCGTTAGCAGTGTCATTATGCAAACAGGACAGGAGCGAGAAACGGGAGCGATTCGGAGGACCAGAGGACGGGAGAAAGATAGCCGCGAGTTAGGAAGGGGGATGGTTTCGGCGTTGGTTTAAAAGCGACGCATGCGTCTCCCGCGTAAGGGGATGTCCGGGGTGAGCTGCCGTACTCGGGCCAACGTATCGCAGTTTCTGGCTTGATGTTTGTCCGCGTGGTACTCCCAGGGATGGTTGTGCTCGTGGCAATCCACGAGGTTGCCGCTGGCATACCTGAAGGGACATTTTTTACGCAAAGAAAGATAACAAGGCGATATTTGGTAGAAAGAACGCGTCGAAAGAGAGGGCGAGAGAGAAAAAAAAAGAGACAGGAATGAAAGAGAGGAATAGAGAGAAGGAAAGTACGCGGCAAGGGAGGGATTATCGATACACGACAGCGATCACAATCTGCCTTCTTGCTTCGAGAAATACCCGGGCCTTTCCCTTCTTTCTTTCGCGCCGACACTTGGACTCTTCGTCGTCCAGTCGCGGAACTCAAGAGACCCCTGGGAGTCTACGTGGGAGATGGACTCGGTGGGACCGACCGTTTTTTCAACAGGTAAGTGCCCGTGACGCGTTTACATATATATGTATATGCCAGTGTATATCCGTCCACGTATGCGTTCAAATGCGACGAATCGAATTTCCGATTTTGATTGGATTAAAATATCACGCGAAGATTGTCGCGCAATTTCACGGCGTAAATATAAACGCAAGCGCGAGGGTTAAATGCGTTTGCATTAAATTGTTGTATTGGAATATCCATGAATATCTCTAAAAAGCAATTTAAAAGAATAACTTGGAATTATGAAACTGTTGAATGAAAGAGAGAATAGTTCTTTTAAAGTAAAATCAACGGTAAAATTATTAGCAATTGCGCAGGTTTATATAGGCATTATTACATTGCTGGAACTACACTCATTAATTTTACTATCAAAAACTGATTATATTGTCTCGTTTACGGAGAGATCTCGATGGAAGCAAACTTGGAAAATTGGCCGAAATTTCCGTATCGAGCGGTGAGATAGAATGAAGCACTAGCGATTAATTATTCGTGGTAATTGGTCAATGTTTACGACATCGCTCCAGAAGTAATTTACCTCCTTCGTGCCTTTATTTCGCGTTTTCCTTTTACCGCCAGCCCGTACCTCTAATGCCACCCCTCTCTCGTCACTTCCATCCCTCCCGTTTCGTCTCTACTGCTACACCTTATTGTATAGCATACTGACTCACTTTCGCAATAAATGCGCATTTACAAAATGCATTGAATCAGCATATGACTCTTTTACATATACACAAATCGAATTCTTCAAGCATAAACTTTCGGCACGCCATGAAGACATTTTTTTGTTAAAATCTTGAATTAATTTAATGAATATTTCAGCATTCAAGGACTTTATTATTATATACAAACAAAATTAGTCAAATATACTTTTAATATTCTCAATTTAAAGAATCGATGTTTTTGATAAATCTGTGATATTTACTGAATATTAATAATAACCATTAAATAGTTAATTTTTATTTTAAAGCAATTTTACAAGTTTTGAAGTAACTTATAGCAGAAATGTCACAATCGAATTATACAAATGACAATATTTTCTATGATCTACAACAACATATTTAATAATTGCTGTTATGATTTAGCCGATTCAGCCATTAGTATCGGTGTCATTAGAGCCACTACAAACATAAAACAATTACACATTAACCGCGTAATTCGAGTTTGGGGGTTACGCTCGGTATATATCCGATAATGCCGCGTAGAAAATATTTATTAGGCGGCGCAGCGGCCGCCGCTTACGTCTTGTTCGCCTATATACGAGAACTTTACTCATAAATCGAACGCCGTTTAAAATTGCAAATAAAGTCGGACGACAGTAAAGTGAGTGTCGAGAGCTTAATGCAGAAATATGCGCGAGAAGCATGAGTTCGCTCGCTCGCTCGCCCGCGCGCCGATCAACGCGGAAACCAAGAAAAAAGGAGAAGGAGAAGGATATAAAAACGCGTCTTGCGCGGTAGTCGAGAACCAGAGAAATGCGCTCCCCGGCTCGCCGTCCTCGGTGATAATAAAAAATTCTAAGATGGGCATAACTTAATTTAATACCGTGGCCGGCGCGCTGTT